AGAGACTTTTTCCACTTTCTTCCACACACGCCGCCGCCCCCTTTTCTTTTAATTTTGAGTTGTAGTTTGTATTGTAAGGGAAGGAAGAGATTCAAAGGAACTTTAAGAGTTTGGTGGAGAGGATTTGAGATAAGTCTTTATCTTTATGACTACATTTGGTTTTAATTTAGACTTATTGTTTATTTGCATGATTTATACTTTTAAACTTAAGTGTGGTTGTGTTTTCTCCATGAATTATGAGTAGTTTTCTTTATCTTCTTTCCTTAAAATGATAAGTTATTAAGTATTGGATGGAAGTTGTGTGAAGTATTAATCTTTAATGTTGGAATAAGTTGTGATGATTTTAATCCTTGTACTTCATTTACTTCTTGATTTGGCCAATTAAGATGTTAATATTTGTTGTGAGAATATGTAAGATTTGAGATGGTATTGTCTCAGTCAACTAATGGTAAGAATCACATGAGATTGTATGGATGAGAATGTAATTCATATGATTAAGTGCAAATAAATAGGAAAATAAACTTTGAAGGGTGTAGAATTAGAGTACTTAGAGGGACGGGCTAAAGCCCCCAATTTGGTTTATAGTTTTAGGTTTTGATACAATATGTTAGCCCTCAGGTGGAGGGAGAAGATGGAACTCTAGAGTGAGAGCTAGTATCTTCCCTACCTAATCTGTCTTCATGACTATTCAAAATTTAAATTAGTCAATGTTCTTTATAGCATCTCTAGTAAGACTAAAGAATATTATTGCTCATATTTGGCATAACACAATTTGAATACTTCTACAACAAAATACCTATACTTGTTACTGATTCATGATAAGGAAAAAGATGTTTTATTTTTATTGCCTTCATTTTACAAATATCTAGTTAAGTTTAGTTAGTTGTTTACTGTACTTTCATTTAGTAAAAATTACAAAAATAATCAAATTTTCATTCCTATTATAACATCTAAAGTTTGAGTAAGAATATTTTGCTAAGCAGAATTTATTATCTAATTTCTTCTGATTTTAGTTGCATATTGTCTTTTGTCCCAGTGGGTTTGATATTCGAGGCTTAATCAAAAAGTCATATATTACTTGACAACGATATCAACAAACCAACGACAGTGGATGATGATCGTATAGAATTGGTGGCGGCGACGACAATCTCATTTTGGATGTACATTCTTGACCTATCGTATGAAGATAACCATTACATAAGTTCTCCATGTTCTTTTTAACTTAATGCGTTTATATAGTTTTATCTTGTTTTCTTTCTTTCCAATCCCTCCTCTTCTCTGAATCAGTCTGATGATCTAAGAAACACGGTTATTTCAAAAAGGGAATTATAAGATAATAATTAGACAAGTTGGTTACTTCAAGTTCAAAAATAACCAAAATAAGAACCACAAAGGCCCTTCACGGATACTAGCACCTAATAGGACACCTACACAATTCCCTAGTGGTTGTCCCATTGAAGGGATGGAGCCACCTATCAGATTGCAGTAAATTGCCTTCTCTTGAGAGTCTTGTCTCATCTAAAGTGAAGGTTATATGCTAATCAAATTAAGAGAGCCAACCAACCTAAGGGCCATAGCTTATTCGACTAAAGGCCCATAATCTGGTCGATCTAAGATTCACATCTTGAGTGTCTTAAAGAACCATATCATGGTCAATTGAAGACCCTCAATTCGACCAACCAAAAACCCATCTAGCCGACCGAAGACCCTCGAATAAACAGATTGAAGACCCGATTTCAGATGATTAAAGGATGACATAGCCATATCAGAGATCCTTTTTATTTTATTTTATTCATTGATTCATTTATTCATTTATTCATGTATTTATTTATAACAAAAATGCCCCATAAGGTCCTTCATTCAAATAAGGGTAGGCATGTAAATTATACAGTTCACACCCCCTTAGTGTATATATAAGGGATTATTTTTATAGTAAAAGACTAATAAATTATTTAAGCTAATCTTGCTTCTTTTCCTACCTCTTTCTCTTTCTCACTCTCATATGCTCTATTTTTGGGTGTGCTATACAGGATAATCTCATATTCAAAAATACATAATGTTGATGGTGATAGGCGATGGTGATAACAAAATCAGCATGAGTAGCAACAGTCTGAAGGCTGGGGAAGGTCAACAGTTCAATGACAGGGATGGGCAATGACACTTCAATAGCATTGATTAGCAGTAGTTAGATGGAACACAGTGATTATCCACCCATCAATATAGATATTTTAACTTTGAAGTTTTTCAATTGCAATATGTATGGTGATTTCTACTATCAAATGGATTTTTCGGTGACATATCAGGGCTAAATATTACAACAATTTCCATGAAGGGGTTACACTCACCAGTAGGTAATTGTTGCATTCGAAACATTGAATGAAAAGGAAGAGAGAGAGAGAGAGAGAGATTTCAATGACATTAACTTCAAATAGTAAATTTGGCATAATCAAAGAAGTAAAGCAAGCTTGAGGTAGTCCAACTTCATAAAAAACTTTAATGGATTCAAAAGCTTTTTATCTAAGAAAATGCACTATTCTTGATCTCATGCGACAGTTGTGATAAAAGAAGGTCGAGGGAAAATTCCCTTTATAAGTAGTTGATGGTGTGACAACCCTTCAGCTCAAATTGAATATATCTATTTCAAATTAAGGCCCATGCATGCTTGGAATCATACATTTTTTTGTGTTATGAGAATTAACAGTATAATATGATAATTTTGACCATACATTTACATTGAAAATTATCTAATTTCAAAATTAGTTTTGAAGTTCTTAACTGGAATACCATATGAAGTGAATAATGTGTTTTCTTAAAAGACAAAAATATATTACTTGCTAATTCAAAAGGTATGCACATATGAAATCTGAATACTCTTCACAAATATTAGCTGCCTAAAGCAAAAGCTTCCCTTTTTCAATTTTCCAGCAATGAAATTATGTATTTGTAATAAAATTCCTATGATAACTTTTGATTTTCAAAAACATATTAAAAATACATTTTATAAATATGTGCATGTACATGTAAATACATATGTTATCCACCCATCTAAGCCAATATATTATCTGTTAAGAATGGTAAGCATGTTGCTTTTTTTTTTTAATATAAAGTGCATGATGACAACTAAGTATGCTTTCATTTTAAATAATATTGTAAGTGAAAAAAAAAAAGCAAGGTTTTAAAAATAGGACCGGACCGGTTGGATCAACTTGAACCGAGCATATGGCTAGTCTGAATGACCTGAAGGATCATTTTTGCATTGAACTGATAAAATCCAGTGTGAACCACCGATTAAATTGGCAAATCAGTGAAATTATAATTATTGTTAATTCTCAGTTAAATCTTAACTTTTTTATATATGACTTAATTTTATAAATAATGTGGTTAAACATTTAATTATAAACTTAAAATCATAAATATAATGATTAAAATGAGTAGTCTAGGTGACTTGGAAGATATGATATAGAACTATTAGTGAAATCCTATTTTTTTTTTCCATGATATGAGAATAAAAAAATAAGAGTGAGTTGGACTACAAAAAAGAAAAATTAGGCTGAACTTTCAAAATATTGAAAAATAGGTTGCATGATGTAACTTTTAATTTTTTTTTATATTAAATATTTTTTTATTCTGATTAATGATTATAAATTATATTATTACTATAATGTATATTCTTACAATAAATTATTGTAATAATTATAAATCTTCATTATTATTTTTCAAATTTTCAAATATATTTTATATTTATATTTATCTACTTGTAATATATCTATAATCATATCTTAATGACCATTAAATCAGATACAATAAATTTATAATTATTAAAGATATTATTTGTGTTTGATTTTTATTTATTTTTAACTCATTTATTATATATTTATTGCATCATTTAAATCATATTATAATAATACTAATATTCGTTATGTTAATATTTATTACATCATCCCTTTCAACTCCTAGTTCGACCCCATTTAAACCAATAATTCTTGAACTTACTATTCTTTCGATCCAATATTGATCTGATTTTCTTAACATTAACCCAAATAACCCTCGCATTACATACTATTTTTTATTCTAATTAATTATCATAAATTATATTATTAATATAGCTTATATTCTTACAATAATATATATATATATATATATATATATATATATATATATAATACATATGCAATTATATCTTAAT